AAAAAGTACTCCAGAGTGTTGTTCAGCATGGGGGTGAGTAGAAAATGAAGGCTAATCATGTTTTGGGTGTACTATTCCTTTAACTACCTAAATGATGCATGCAGTATATAAAAAGCCCTTCCTTGTCATGCTCATCATTGTGAAGGTTGGCATATGGTGTCTGTTGGGTTCAAAAATGTAGGTTTGTAAAAGAAGAACTGAAATACACAGTAAGGGATTTTCATACAGCTTCTGCAGAAGGAGAGACAGTTGAACCCCAGACTCAAACACTCCGTCTCCCACCAGACCTCCTCTGCAGAGCGTTTTATTAACAGAACATGATGCATGGTTACAAACAGAGTATTGCTCTGACAGGACAGTGGATCAGGTCATAAGACAGGACGCTCCACGACTGAATCACAAGACAGTGTGGTCTCTTGACTGAATCATGAGACGGAGTAAAGCATCTCATTTCTACAATGTTTCATATGAACACACATTCATTTTATAATCATCATTGAATAAACCTTACAGTGTCATTTTCTATTTCTTCAAACTTTAAAATCCTTTACAACAAACTAAATTATAATAAAACTAAAATGCTTCTTTAAACCGAACTACGATGTTTCTCTTATATTTGGTGAATTTATGTTTGAATATTTTGCAAAAATATGATGCATGATGTTTTTTTATCTATTTACATTATTCCATTTCATTGCCCTCATGCCACCTAGGCTGGCAATGAATGCTGTCACACCGCTGAGCTTTCATGGATTCATTCAGTCCATAAATGGGTCGCTGTAGATGAAAAAATGTCGGTTGTGAAGCTACTTTTGTGGCTGAAAATCGTTCCCAGTCCGAGCCTGCAGTGAGGATCCATGTGATGAAGTCAACACAAGGCAGGGTGTGTGTGTTCCTCCATGTGGAAGTCTCAGGGGATTGTTTCCAGCACCAACAAAGATGACTTTGGACTCTTTGCAACCAATCGTTGTCATGTTATTTTATGTCTGCTTCTGTACAAACATTTATAAACTGAATGATTGATGTTCTTTTTCTGTGATACCCTGTGATCCTTGCTGTGTTTGCAGTGAGAGGACTAAGAAAAACATATTGTACAAAAAAGTTTTGTGCTCTTCTTTTATTTTTTCATCCAGACTGTTATATCTTCTACCAGGTGCATAAGTCTATTTATTATTTTTAGCAAATATTTCACACGAGAATATAAACTATAGAGGTGAGGAAGAGATTTATGATTGTTATGAACCTTAATGCTCCATGAAGGGACAGGTGCAGTAATATAAGACAACAGAAATGTCATGATGGGATAAAGATGTCTAACCCATATGCAGAAGCACACGGAGGTATGGAGAAAGTTCAAAAGGTTTATTGAAATTAGTGTAAATAAAATGTGAACAGGTACTGGGGGGTCAGACTGGTCACGGCTGGATCTTGGGGGAAAACCTGTGAGTCCAGAGGCTTAATGGCAGGCAGTGGGCTGAGGACTGACGGCTAGGCTGAGACGGAGGCTGAGTGCAGGCAGGCAGGTTTCAGGCTGAGAGAAAGGATTCGGATCTGCAGGGGGGAAGGGAACCTTGTAAGTCCAGAGGCTAGTCGGCAGGCAGAGGGCTGAGGTTCGGATCTGCAGGGGGGAAGGGAACCTTGTAAGTCCAGAGGCTAGTCGGCAGGCAGAGGGC